GAGTCGGCTTATGGAAAAGCTTTTCGTCGGGGGGGTTTTCAGCGCGATACTTTCGAAGTGCAGCAGTCATTTCTTCGTGGGTGACACGATACATTGCGACTGCCAGAGGAGCAAGCAGCTCGAAGCTGCGACCCTCGACTTTCTCATAGCACTTCTTCCGGTACATGTCGCGGAGGGAAGATGATATCATTCCTATTTCCTCATGAAACTTGTAGTCCTTGCTCATATTGGCGTGGCTTAGCACAAAGGTAGACCAAACCTCGAACTCGGTCTTGATCTCATGCTGTGCCATGATACGATGCATGGCTGCATCGTAGTCAGCCTTGAGGTCCCGAGCATATTGCACAAGATCATCGCTGACTTCCAGGCGGCATGTCAGGATTCGTTCATCAAAGGGCATCTCAAGGCTGGGAACAAAGTCGATACGCTCCACGGCGTCGTAGAGTTGCCCAAGAATCTTATTGGACTTGTAGATCCTTTCCTTTGGCTTGTGCTTCTTCTCCATGAAGTGAGGCCACATCTTCGGCTGCAGGCTGCGCGTCATGTTCGCTGGCTTGCCCGTTTTGTTGTAGTCGACCGCGTCGGAATGGAGCTGGGCTAGTCGTACGCACTTTTCTTCGTTGACGCCGTCCTCGAGACGATCTGCCCAGGCAAGATGAGCGTGGGCAATCCTAGGAAGGAAATCGTTCTTCATGTATAAGACGAAGAAGGAAGTGATGTGATTCACCGTGACATCCTGATCGAGATCTTGGGCTTTGTCGCTTGCGTACTTCATGGGCTTGCGGAACCAATCTTTGGGAACAAGATCTTGGTCCCAAATCACAAGGTAATCGTCCCCATCTAGATCCCCACCGGAGCACATACTTGGGATGTCTCTATCCCCGGTCTGTGGGAAAACGACCACATCCTTCAGATGACGCAACTGAGGAACATTGACGGCTCTGACTACCCGAATGTCGCCAGGATGTAGAGACGGGTTGCGGGCAAGGATACAGACACCCTCAATGACTTCGTACTTCCCAGTGTCAGGGCGATGGACCTGGACGAATATCTCGGGTAACGCGGCTATCTTCTCTTCGTCAGAGGCGCCTTTGGCAGGGACCCTTTCAGAGTAGCCCCTGAGACTGCCAGTCTCATCCATGCACCCAAGCAAGTTCGCTCCCTTATCAATCACAATTTTTGCTTTCTCCTTCAAATACTTGAGATGCCAGGCCTTCCAAAGTCTCATTATGGACGTGACGAATGGCTCTCTGGAACTCCTGAATCCATCCAGGACCATCTGACTGACAACAAGTGTCATCTCATTGGGATCCACATACTTCTTCAGCCAACACAGAGCCTGAGAATCACTCTCCATTGCTTCGTTCAAACTCTGAAGCATTGCGTTGAGCTTATCGTGAAAGACCCGATCTTGAATGCCTAGAGAGGAAAGAACGATGATTAACTGTCGATTCAGAGTGGCCATGGAGAACTGAGACCAGCGGATAATCTCCAAGCCGTTGTGGGCCGCTGCAAATTTGTATTGACTCTTGCGGATGTGCACCTCTTGACGTTGGGCCTCGGGAGAAACTGTTAGCATTCCTTTGCAGCCTCCCAGACGAAACTGGAACGCCGACGGAGGGTCGTCACTTGGTGTTTTGATCTTGAGCTCTGAAGCGGCCATCTGGGCCAGGAACTTTGAAATTCGTCCCACACCGTCTGAAAAAGTGTATCCGTTTCGGACAACGTCATCAATCAAACGGACCTGTACTGGGCAGCCAGCTATAGCTCGGGTGGTTGAGAAGCACTGCCCCAGCCTCGCAGCATGCTTAGCGACGTTGCGTATGTCATTGAAAGTTCCCATCCAGGCTCGGATGTTCGCAGCTGTCAAATTGGGCAGAGGAGCAAAGAAGTAGGCTCCATGCTCTCGAAACTGCGAGTTACCGAAGGCCAGGAACTCATAACGCCTGTCGCCAATGACGATACCATTCGCCAATGCTCTTTTAATGCGAGTAAACACCTCGTCCATTGTGTTGTCAACGGTTGAATTGATGCGGCCGAGTAGCTTCTCGTCCGTGAATCGAACACGAAGAAAGCGATCAGCATACTCAATATAATACCGGATCACACGATTCGAGATATCAACAGATGGAGTATTGTAGTAGATTGTGGTAGGTGTAATTCTGGCTGAGCGCATGTAGCAACAGTAAGAGGGTATCTTAGCGTGAGTCAACCCTTTGACGAACTTGAGATCGAAGACCTTCATCGGGTCATGAAAGACTTCTTTCTTGGTAGCCACATGCTCCAGAAGCTTAACCGCTTCGGATTCACCTAGCTCGAGCAATTTGACCGCGAATTCGCGGGTCATGGTAAACTCAGAAAGGTAATTGTGGGACAGACAGACCTCGAGCTGGTACCGAACAGGGAAAGGCAGGTGAACGTAAGATTCGTCCACTAATTCTTCCAGGGAAGATACTATCTTCTTGGAGGCTTGTAAGTCTGTGAAGTCGATCCATCTCCAAACTGGTGGAGGCCTTTCCTGGGTCTGGTCCAACATGGAGAATCGCCTGGTATTCTCAATGGTGATATTGTAATCTTTCAAAATGTTGCAAAACGATTCGAATTTCTCCTCATCCTTTTTGTTGAGAATCTCGGGATATGTTATTCTGAAAGCATTCCAGCGGCCTAGGGCAAAGTCATTAGTTTCGAACGGAAGGCGGAGAAAGTGAAAGTCGAAGTCAAACCAAGACGTACCAATATCAATCACTGGCTTCGACCGCTTCAAGCTCACAGGTAGAGTAGATAGCTCATCTGGGTTGCGTACTACGGAAGTCTGCCGATACCAGGTATCTGATTCTCTCCAAGAGAGGTCATCGGTGAAAGTGACCCAGCTCTCTTGAATGCGTCGATGATAGATGGCAGGCGAATCCAGGAAAGTCAGATGTGAGACTTTACCCCATTTCGGATCCTGTGTTTGGTAAATTTTCGTGAGTTGCACGAATGGAATCCTGACGCGATACTGGTTGTAAGTTTCACCTGTTGAAGCTGATTTTTGCTTGATGTTGAAGATGGGCAACTGGAAGTGAACGAAGAGGTCTCTGCGCTTCAAGTCAATGACCAAAAAAGCCCGCTCATTTCTTTCATTTCCGACGGTACGCATTGGCAGCATGGATGTCTCGCTGACGAGAACGCCTATGTCCATTGACGCTATGGGCAGTTTCTGTATCGTTCATGAAGAATCAGCGTTGAAAACTCGTAAAGGAGGGGAAGACTTTTAGACCCACCACCTCAGCAGGATACATTATATTAGGACGAACAGGACTTTGAATCTGAACATCTGGACGCTTGGGGTCGAGGGTAATTGAGACGAATGAGGTCTTTCCATCTGAGAGTGTGATGGGATACGTCCCATGGCGCCAAAAATCTTTCTGAGGGGGTGGTCTGCTGAACCGGTTAGGCCAATGCATGGAATGAAAAGGTGAGTCTGTTAACTGACTTGAAGCGAAGCTTTCCTCTGGATTCTCTATTTCCGTGAAAATCTTCAAAGATGTCAATCGAAAACACATTTCCTTCTTTGCTGAATGCCTGCCAAAGACAGTATGTGTTCGCCTCCTTCGGTATGTTGAAGATATTCACAGCCACCGACTCCCACAGTCTCCACGGACACAGAATTGTGGATGGGTGCTGTAGAACCTGCGGTATCTGTTGCCGTTGATTCCGTTCGGGGTTTCCAGATGCGGTTTGCTGCCTGATTTGCTGCCAGGAATTTTGCAATGGAGTCTGTTGCCGTGAGGCCTGAGATGGAGCTGACTGTCTCGAGTTCTGCAAAGGACGCTTCCGCTGGCGCAGAAGCGTACTTCTAGGTCTTGAACTCTGAGTCATTGCTCTTTCTCTTTTGCTGGATGGTGACGGAGAAGGCGAGAAAGACGACGAAGACTGCGAGAATGTTGAAGAAGACGGGGAAGAGGGAGGAGAGAGGGGAGAGGAGAAGAGGGAAGATGGAAGTGGAATGACGGGGGAAGGCAGTAGTGAATGAAGTGAAGGTGAATTGGCTCTGACTCTCCGGTGAGGGACCTGAGGCACATGGTCCCGACGCGTTGCAGGCCGAGGACAACGTGCTGAGAGCCAGGAATAACCATGAGCCCTCGCCTGATGGTTTCGAGGAACCCTTCCTCTGATCCCACCGCCCTGTCGATGAACGAGGCTCATTTCACTGTCCCCATCGCTGAAGCTAGAAAAAGTCGATCCCGTCTCTGTTGTTGAGTGTTTGATTTCGTTCAAACCTGTTTCCCTCTCTGACTGGTAGTGCAAGTGCTGCGCTCTTCGAGCTATCCTTCCACCTGGGCGCCTCTCCATTTTGTCACAACCTAGGGAAAGAACGGTGTGATTTCTCATCCAACCAGGGGTGTTCTAGATGATACGCTCGAAACAGTTGCCAGCTATCAGCAATGGATTCAAAGTCAAAGAAAGACAGAGCGTTGGAACAACTGGGAGGCTTTTGCGCATGACAATCTGAAGGCAGCTCTTCAAAGAGGACAGTTGATTCAAAGAAAGAAATCAGGACATGGAGGCTTCTGAGAAACATACCAGGGAGCTGTTATACCTTGAACAGCAATTTTGTATGTCTAATAAATGGTTCTAACGCGACAGTATTTCGGCAAGATTATCTTATGAAAGGATATAAGGAGATGGAAAGACGAGCTGTAGGTTAGAGTTTTATACTGTCTATCGGAACGGATTAAAGAGGCTGGAACAAAGCATTCACGAGAGCAGCCGCTAAAAGTGATAGCGCTCGCTTAAGGTCTGTACGTGAATGTTCTAGAGGTGGAGCATCCAAGATGTCTCTGTTTCCTTCTGCCACTGAAACCTTGCCTCTGTGTTTCCATCTCACGCAATATGAAAGACAGCTGAGCGGGTATTCCGAGATATATACGGTACAATGTCCCCAGATCAGTCTGAATGGTAGTCAATATCATTGTATCGACTGGTCGTTGAGCTTTTTTCTTAATGGCTGCTTCGCATTATTGCTGGGACCGCAGTGGGGGTATATGATCATTCGCCTCGGAAAGGGAAGTGCTGGTGAAAATGAAGTCCTTCGAAAACTCCAGATCCATGTCGAGGTCTATGTCGTAGAGACGGTTTTCGTCCAAGTTGGGCCCGTACTGAGTCCCCTGAAGTGACGCATTTGGAGTACACTGTGAAGCGTTGCTTTGTTGCGAGTTCGACTGGCTATTCCGGTTTGCTTCTTCAAGGGCTTGTCTTGTGCGACGCGGCCTCGCGTGGCTTCGACCAGCTGACTCTCCCAGATCCTGGTCCGCAACAGCAGTTCTGGATCTCTTAGGACTTCGTCGTCCAGGCTGCGGTGTGGAGGAAGCAAAGGAATCAGCAAGCATATTTTCGGACTGGCTTTGTGTCTCTTCATCCCGTTGAGGCGTTTGCTGTTGTATTGTGGCGACTTTTGATGGCCCTAGCGTTGACCTGGAGCGTTGTTGTTTGCTTGCTGCCTTTGGCTCTTTCGGTTCAGGCTTGAAGCCCATCACACCCATCAGACGACCAATATGTTGCTGGGCCTCGGAAAACTCGCGTGCTTTGGCTGCCCGTTCTTCGCGTAGTTGTTGCACCTGTAGACTGGTGAGTTTGCGTCTCCGAAAAGAATTAAAGTTTCTGGCTTCACCTTCCTCTCCAGGTGCTGGATTCGTTTTTCTCTTGCTTGCAATTCTTTTGTGGCGTTGGAAGCGGCTACATGCATGGCGGCTTGCAGAGACTTCATCTCTTCTTTGTTCTCAGTGTACTATGCGCCTAAGTCAGAAAAAGATTTTACTTTCGTTTGACAACTGTGATGTCTCACCTCCACAGTTATTTCCGAGATCTGCAACTCATATTGCTTTTTGAGCGTGTTAACTTCAGTTCCGTGCGTTTCCTCAGCATTTTGGAGCGCGGCTTTGAGTTCCTGAACCTGAGCAGACCCTTCATCCAACTGTGAAAGATATCAGCACAAAGTATTCCTTATTTCAGGAAGAGTAGGAACTTTTGTACCTTCTTTTGTAAGGCTTCCGAGTTCGAGTTAATGCGTTCTTGGTCTGCCTGTAATCTGCTTATTTCTTCATCTTTCTGTGCAAGGAGTAGCTTGCCCTCTTCAACGCATTCTTCCAGCCTTACTATGTCTTGTTTGAGGGCAATTGTATGCTCCAAAGCAGTGCCTTTCTCCTTCGAGACAGTATCTAGCGTTTGGCGCAAGGCGTCATTATCTTCCTTCAAATCCCGTGTTTCCTCCTGAAGCTCTTCGATCTGATCCTCTTTCTCGGTGATTGAAGCGAGAAAATCTAGTTCTCTTGTTCGAGCTTTTTCTCTTTCACTATTCGTGGTTTCTTGGGAGTTGCGACGCTGATCTTCCAGCTCCCTTCGCGCAGCGTCAAGGCTTGCTGATAATTCCTCAACGCGGGCAGAAGTTGACTGAGCATGCTTTTCCAGATGGGAAATTTCTTGCTGCAGCTGAGATATTGTGCTAGAAGCTTGCTGTAGCTGCACTTCTAGCTCACTTTTCTGTTGCCGAAGTTGTTCAGCCTCAACAGCAATCTGATCACGCTCATCTTCAACTGCTCGAAGTGGTGCTTCAATGGTAGTGCAACGCTGTTCGAGATCGAAGCAGACCTCCTCCATCTTTCGAATTAAATTGTCATGAGTCATGCGCGAGTTGAGCATGAGAGTCTCTGTTATCCCCGTCCTCCAATCGTCTCTCAGAGTGGGACCTCGTTTGGGGAGCCCAGCCAAAGAGAAGTTGACTCGGTAATCCCGTGGTTCGGATTCGGAGAAGCTACATTTGTTTTCTGCAATCATCTTTTTCGCCTTCAGTAAACACTTTGTCAGATTGCTGGTTCCAGTCGGGTTGCTGGCCTCGAAACCCATTGCACCCAACAGTGACATGTGGGAAGTAAACACAATTAAGTCGAACAATAGCTCATTTTCAGAGTTGGAAGTCGACGCATAGCAGAGATTGGCACCCTGGCATTGCGAATGACGTGGTTTCCTAGGAAAGTTTTCACTCAATTCGTTCAGGGTCTGGCTGACTTCTCCTAAACCGTATGTCGCCATGGCTGAACTGAAGATTCGGGGTTCCAGGCTCTGAAGACCAAGAAGCACCGACCTCGACAACTCGATTAACTCCGTATCTGCACTATGGTCATGGCATCTTGTTTTCAATGTCATGAATATATGATTCATAAGATCGCAAATCGCAGGCTTTCCTGAGAGGATCTGGATGTAATCAGTACGCTTCTGAATCCGAGCGACGAGTAACTTACAGCATTTGCCTTCACCAAACGTGGAATAAGATACTGGGGTATAGCTTCGCGCAAGTGTCTTTCTTTGGTCAGAAGCTCTTGCAAAGCAAGCCGAGGTATTTCAGGTGACAACGCAGTGTCTGGTAGAAGTGAGGTAAGGAATGTCACACCCTGTGGGAAGTCAACAGTTGACTCGACCGTCTCGTACATTAAACGCATCATACCATCATTTGCACTTCCCAGTCAATACCATTCCTGTTGACTTTCTCGCAAAGCTTGGCAATCTTGGGAGCGTTGTTCGCAATCCAGCAGTCCTTCAGGCCCTGCTCTACGCTGTCACAGATCTCGATCGCTAATCGGATGCTCTCGGCTGCCTTCTTTGCTGGCAGGTTGTTGCAACTAGCGGAGCATGCGAGGATCACGCGCAAGATAACGAGGTCCAGAGTTTTTAAACCACGCTTCTGGCCGAAAAAATGCTTGACATTCTGCAGCCAAGATGGAAATTGTGGTCCGTGTTCTCTTTCGGCAATAACGTCCCAAGAAGATGAGATCCGGGCAAAGGTAGCGAGACAGAGGAGATTGCCCATGTGATCGTCGAGATTCCGCAACGTCTTAGTGAGCTCTACCTGCAGTCCCGACATTGTCTCCGGGGGTATCTCAAGTAATACTCCGGGAACTGGTTGCAAGCCGGTCATGACTTGATAGAGTGGAAATATGGTTTCTGAGCATGGATTCTCTCCCATTTCATTTATCAACCTCATAATGAACATGGCCAGACGAGCTGGAGCAATGAAGTTTTGGGGAAGAGGAGTAGAAAGAATGGCAATGCAAAGCGCCATCGACTGTCATCATCAGTTCATGTATATTCGGGTCAAGACAGACATTGAAGTATTGAACAACTTCCAAGGGTGAATGAACAAACCTCAGGATCATCATTTTCCAGGGCCTTCTCCAGGAACTGGTCGAGTACAGCGGGATACCGTTCCAGCAGAGCATTGGAAACAGCCGATACCGATACTAGAAGACATAAGTCTAATCTTTTGATTGACAGCTCATCGAACACTCACCAAAAGCATTCAGCAAAGGCACAGCGAAGCGAGACCGAGACAGTCCGTCGAAAAGGACATCAACCAAAGCTCCAATTTGGCACGGTTTATGGGTAGCCCAGGCATTAACCAAACCATGAGAGTCATTCTGAATAATCTCATGAAGGTTCTACCATCGATATGTCAGCTATCATTTCCTCTATGTTTGTGATCAAGCGGGGTACAAGTTTACTTGGAGCGAAGGCGCATATGGGGCCGTGATCAAGCGCTCCACTTCGTGCACTAGGAGTGATAGCTTGTCTGGCATGATTCCATCTAGACTGACCCAAAGGTCGAGAAATATTCCGTAAGTACTTGATAGATCGAGCAGTGGAATTGTGAAGTTAATTCTGCATGAGATGTAGGGTCATGCAAGACTTTAGCTTTCCCGCCGGTTGCCCCATCAACGGGTGCCATCATCTCTTGACCTCATCAGAAAGATTCAATCTTCAATAACCACGGAGAAATAAAGATAACAATTGATGTTTGTCTAACGATCCCTCTATATGACTAGCAAGCATACAGTTTGAACTAGAAGCTTGATCCGCGTCATCCTTCCCATCATCGTGGAGCGTGTCGGTATGGGTCAACAACCTGAGGCATTAATTCCGCTCTTCGGATTTGAGGCCGATCTGGGGCACGAACCGGGGCAATGAGGATTTACTCCGATTGCGATCATTTAGCGTGGGGGAGACAGTCATAGGGCCTATGATGGTTCATGATAATAAGGTACTGTGACTCTGGACTTTTTCCACACGCTTGTTTGACCTTTTCATTGGATATTATTCGGCCGAATACCGACGAGCTCCTCATACCTGCGTTCGATGGCGTTGATGCTTATAAGAGCCGGCTGCAAGATGCACGATTACCGAAGAACCGCAACGAACAACTTGTCCTAATAACCATCCTTCTCCCGCTTACTTTTGTGTGAATCTCCCCAATCAATTCTTCCATGACTTGAAGAAGTTTCCTGATCAAATAATTCCTACAACTTCCCTTCATGTCAGCTGTGCGAGGCCCCTTTCTTTCTCGGGGTTTCCCCGCATATCCCCGCGCCCTCCGTCGCCAAACCAGAATTCCCCAGCCCCAAGTGTTCTCGTCATTCAGAGCTACTCGGTATAACAGCTCCAATAGCTCAAAGAATACTTCTAAAAGCCAGAGTGATTTTGCTGGGTCAAATTCCTCCACTCAAGCGGCTCCCGGCTTCTGGACGTCAGGCAAGGCGCTCTTTGCCTCTGTCTTGGCTGCTAGCATTGGCTACGCATATGCTGCCTCTAGTCAGCCGTCGCAATCGGAGAGTTCAAAAAAACCTCGGTACGGAACGACAAAGGATCTCGAAAAGGTGAGAAATCAGCAATCAATCGCTCCGTGGAGCCAAGCATATGATACTGATTCTGGCCTCAACGGTGCCTAGGCCATTGCTGAATTGCGGATCGAGCTCGGTGATGATGCCATTAGTACGGATGAGGATGAACTTCAACAGCATGGATACTCAGAATGGTCTTCCGTGAACGCAGATCGTCTTCCCATCGCCGTTGCTTACCCAACGTGCACAGAAGATGTGGTGAAGATCGCCAAAGTATGCCACAAATACAGGATGCCAATGGTTCCTTACTCCGGCGGTTCAAGTCTCGAGGCAAATTTCTCAGCTCCTTACGGCGGGTTGACCATTGATTTCGCCAGGATGAACAAGATACTTGAGATGCACGAAGATGATATGGATATTGTCGTCCAGCCATCCATCCAATGGATGGAATTGAATGAAAAAATCAAGGACACCGGTCTTTTCTTTCCAGTCGATCCTGGTCCGTCCGCGATGATCGGCGGCATGATTGGGACCAACTGCAGTGGGACCAATGCAGTGCGCTATGGGACAATGAAGGACTGGGTGATCAACCTGACAGTCGTCCTGGCAGACGGCCGGGTAATGAAGACTCGGAGACGCCCCCGAAAGACCTCCGCTGGCTATAACTTGACAGGAATGTTTGTAGGCTCCGAGGGTACATTGGGTATTGTCACTGAAGCAACTCTCAAGCTCGCGCCAATTCCAGAACAGACTCGGGTTGGAGTTGTTGCGTTCCCCACCATTCGGGACGCTGCGTCGACTGCCATGCAGCTTATACGAAAAGGAATCCCAGTACAGTGTATGGAAATTCTGGATGATGTCCAGATGGATGTCATCAACCGTGCTGGTGGTACCGGACGGACTTGGAAGACGTTACCCACACTGTTTTTCAAGTTCTCGGGTACTAGAGCTGGGGTTGCTGACAGTATCAATCTGACGAGAGAACTTGCCAAGAGCAACAATGCAGCATCGTTCGAGTTTGCCCAAGATGAGCGAGAGGCACACGATCTTTGGTCGGCGCGAAAGCAGTCGTTATGGAGCATGATGTCCCTGCGGAAGGAAGGCTCGGAAGTGTGGTCAACGGATGTTGCCGTTCCAATCTCCAGGCTACCTGATATTATCGGTAGGTCTCAGTCTAAATTGCCTTCGAACTTGCGCTGAGTGGGATAGAAATCTCGAAGAAGGAGCTCGACAACCTGGGATTGTTTGCCAGTATTTTGGGCCATATCGGAGACGGAAACTTCCATTCGAGCATAATGTACGACAGAAAGGATGCAGAGCAGATGGAGCGGGTTGAGAAGGTTGTCCACGATATGGTCGACCGCGCCCTAGAGATGGAGGGATCCTGCACTGTAAGTGTCCCCAGAATCCTGATTCTGTCCGCAAACCAGCTAACTTTGGACGACAGGGCGAACACGGGGTAGGGCTGGGCAAGAAATCATCTTTGAAAAAGGAGCTTGGTCCAGCTACCCTTGATGTCATGCGTAGCATCAAGAAAGCCCTTGATCCTCACTGGTTGTTGAACCCTGGTAAGATCTTTGACTATGAAAGTGAGGCCTCAAAATGAAGTAGAGTAAAGGGCAGAATAAGTACCTCAAGGACTCTCTATATAAAGTCATTACCCCGGTGGTCATGCATTTAGGGCGATGATAGCATAGACCTTGCGTACCCACATTGGCTGAGTCCAATGAATTATGAGACAAAAATCTTTATACACATGATGTAAATAAGAGCAAGCGATATATACATATGACCCGAAATCATAATATCTTAGGTTGTCTCCATTCGGTCAATCTCGACGTTGATGGAAACTTATTGAATTCATCCAATCGTATTGCTGGATTTCGCTGGCCATTCCGCAGTTGATGAGTGCTGACTCATTGCGGGGCTTAGCGTGGGATGGGAGAAGCGATATCGCAGTCTGCAGAGAGGTAGATATTGTTGCCATAAGCGTCTCTCCTCAACCTTTTGGTGAGCATTTTTTTCCAAAGGTAAGTTGATATATTTCCTGTGTGTAGGATTGCTCTTGTGTCGCGTTTGTCCAAGGAGATATCATGTCCGTCGCTTGAAGGAGTGGACAATGGAGACTTTGCGCCTGCGGGACACTGAATTCTAGATGAAGGCTTTTCGAGCCATACATTTAGATTTGCCTGCTTTGCCCAAGACTTTGCCTGTTGTTCGGTTTCTTTGCATGCCTTGACGGATGATGGACTTCTCAACTTTGGAGTTTAGTTTATCCCTATTGTATCCAGCCAATTGACTCGAAAACCAGGTCGACTGAGCCGTACTTCAATCCTGATCACTTTCAATCAAGATGGCATCATATCCCAAGAAGAAGTGCGGTATGGACATATCATTCAGTCAATGCCTCCCCTAAATCCATTACTCACAGCACGACAGGTGTCCTGGGCGCCACCGGTTCGGTCGGCCAACGATTCATCCTCCTCCTCGCGGACCACCCTTTCCTGGAACTGTACGCCATTGGCGCATCGAATCGCTCGGCCGGCAAGAAATACAAGGATGCTGTCAGATGGAAGCAGACTACGGCTATGTCTGAGAGGCTTAGCAATCTCGTCCTGCGCGATTGCAGGGCTGATCAGTTCAGCGACTGTGACCTTGTCTTCTCGGGGCTCAACAGCGATGTTGCTGGTGAAATTGGTACGTGATACTATTATCTCGAGATTAAAGTGCGACGGACCGCCGCTGATACCGTTGCCCCCGCAGAAATGGAATTCATCAAGGCCGAAATCCCTGTCTTCTCCAACGCCAAGAACTATCGCAGGCACCCCCTTGTTCCTCTCGTCGTCCCTACAGTTAACCCCCATCACTTGGATCTCATCCCTCACCAAAGGAAAGAGTTCGGCCTGAAGAAGGGTTTCTTGGTTTGCAACTCTAACTGCGCTGTGATTGGCGTTGTCATTCCTTTCGCCGCTCTTCAAGCCAAGTTTGGTCCTGTCGAGGATGTGGAAGTTTTCACCGAACAGGCCGTGTCTGGCGCTGGCTACCCTGGTGTTCCCAGCATGGACATCATGGACAACGTTATCCCCTATATCAGTGGTGAAGAGGACAAGCTTGAGAATGAAGCCCAAAAGATTCTGGGTTCTCTGAACGCAGATGCCACTGCCTTCGACGAGCAAAAGGGGCTCACGGTTGGGGCCACCTGCACTCGCGTTGGTGTTACGGATGGCCACATGGCTTTCGTTTCATTGCGCTTCAAGAACCGCCCCGGACCCAGCGCGGAAGAAGTCAAGCAGGCTATGCGAGAATACCAATCCGAGGCCCAGAAGCTTGGTTGCCCTTCAGCTCCTCAAGAGGCGATCAGGGTTTTCGATGAGCCTGACAGACCTCAGCCCAGGCTCGACCGGGATATCTCCAGGGGATACACTGTAAGTGTGGGACGTGTTCGTGAAGCAGCACCGGGCAGCCACTTTGACCTGAGATTCGCTGCACTCTCTCACAACACCGTCATTGGAGCCGCAGGATCGTCCATCCTTAACGCCGAGGTTGCAGTCATCAAGGGCTACATTTAGATTTGTGCAGACTTCTAGAAAAAATTTGTTGTATAGCGATTTGAAGACATAAAATACCAATTTCAGTTTTCTAGGGATTTGCCGACGAAATTAATTGGAGTCGCTTGACCTCTAAATAACTACGAAAATATGAAACTATATGAATTATATAAGCAGATGCATAAGACTTGATCTAATGCAGGTGAGTCTAAATTGGGAATAGCGCTAGGGCTCCTCCCACAAGCATGATCCGCTAAGCGAATTTCGTGAGTGGAGCGGATATCACCACTTCTTGACTTTGACTTTGGTTTTTTCTTCTGTGACACTTCGACAAATAACCGGGTTCAAGTCGACAAAGCAGTCAAGATGCCTCGCGGACCGTGAGTTACAAACCATGATAATTTCGTATCGGTT